ATTTCAAGGCCTACATCTCTCCATACGTGACCTAATTGTCCATGGAGTTGTTGATATTTATAATCATGGACTTCAGTCATTCTCTGTAAAGTCATACAAGCATTAGACCTCAGCAGTGCCATTTACAGTGAGCCTGTACTGTATCTCAGAACTGCACTTTGCCCTTAACATTTGCTGTGTCCTTACATGAGATTTTGCCCTTAAGCTGTTAGTCAGTGCAGTGCAGAGGCTGCAGCACAGACCCTCTTCTGTTTTCCAGACCTTAACCTGTGCTCTCAAACCTGCTGTACTGATTAGAGCTCCCTCTGTCATCCCCTTCTCTGTGCAGGCAAACCCACTTAGTGTGCCAGCAGCTGCTACCCACCCACTGCTCCCCAGTAATTGCCTTTCTGGGTATGTGTACATCATACCCTCTACAGGACTTGGACTTTCTTCTTTGGATTTCTAAATGGGCATGGAATACTGTCATATGGAACTAAGTACACTGGAGGTGAAATCAGTTTTTTAGGTTTTCAGATCTTCTCCATTCTTATACAAGCAGGCCAGACAATCACATTCTGCCAATGGAAGCATCAACACAGGGATTGTTGTGTTAAATGTGCTTTGTACGTAATTAAACCTTTTGCTACTATTTTAGATTGACAGCAGTAACAGCCTTCAAAGCAAATGGCTAATGAAATTACAAATGGTACCTAGGATTTTCAGTAATAATTTATCACCATGGATATTCGTATAAGATAACAAAATCCTTCCTTCTCTCTGGAGTAGAAAAGAAAGGTAATCTTCCATAAGAAAGAGATGAATTTGGTTATCCTCCATAGGAAGCTGATTGCACATCTTGAGTGATCTGCTGGGAGCCCAAATGAGCTCCCAGATCAGTGGTGCTCAGCTGATTGACAGCTGGAATTCCTAAGGTCCAGACTGCTGCTTTGTTTCCACACCACTGACAATCCAGTGTATCTCATCAAAAGAGTGATTCTCGCATGGTCTGTCTGGGTGCTGCTTTTACCAAAATAGCCCTCTTTCTGTAGCCCTAAATATTTGTTTTCCTTAGTGCCTATTCTGCAAATAGAAGCAGCTTTTTTATTGTACTCTAGTCATCTCTCAGCCCTGCTACGCTCATTTACCTCTCTCAGTTATCCAGAGAAGTCTGTCCCTCAAGCACAACACACATTTCTCTGCAGAAGTCTCTGAGACTGTGCATGTGTACATTCTGATGAGGTCCCTGGGACAGATTGCCCAATTCCTAGTGCACCCTTCATAAAAAACCAAAAGCATAGGAAATATTATTTCCCTGTTTCTGTCTCCACATACACCACAGATTTTGATACTGGCCTGGTTTTCCCCAGACATGGTAAACTCCAGTTTGCTTTCTACAGATGCTTCTTGTTCTCTTTCAGTTTTAGCACTGCCTGCATTTTACACACATTCACTGTTCAGCCACGTCCTTGATTTGCAGTGGAAATCAGGATCAGTCTGTTCAAGATCTGTCAAGTGGCTTCCACAAAAAAAATGGTGCAAGAGGAGAATCAGAGCCTCGGGTTCAGTCTTCTGAACATCATCTCATACTTACTCTTCTACTCTTTTACTCCTTATATGTAGTTGCTGACACTAACAAGACTATCAGTTCAATCACTTCAGATTCTATTAATCTACAGATTTTTTCATACTTGTATGAAAGTAATCATGAGCTAAACCCAACTTTTCTGTTGCCTATAAGGTGGAGTTTTTACCACACATTATCTGATCTTTTGTGGTTTGGGTTTAGGGGGGGTTTTAAATATTTAATTTTGTGCCTAGTATAATTAACTATTATTAAGTCAAATTTTACATTTTTAATATGAATGTACTTTTAATCTTAATTTTAGCTAGTCTTGAAGTAAAACTGAGTGACCACATTTGTTCATTATTTTCTTCTCATTAGAAAGTGTACACAGCTGTTTGAAATTTTCTGAGGATTGTTTGGAAGTTCACCATGGTTGGCTCTTTTTTGCTCAGTTATTAATGTTAGATTTGGGCCTGCAAAAGTTTTAGATCAGTCCTTTTTTTTTTTTTTTGAGTGATTGAACTTATTGTTCCTCTTATTCTCTTTATATCATACTCCTAGAAGGCTACACTACTCGCTGCTTTCCCCACATAGCTTTTTTTTTTCTTTTTTGTTTTTTTTTTTTGGGGGGGGGGGCATGCTTTGGGGTTTGGGTTGAGGTTGGTTTTTTTTAGTTTTTTATTATTACTTGGTATTTTCTTTTAAGATGGGATGCAACATTCTGGGTAATTCTGCTGGGAAAGCTTTCAAAAATACATATAAAGCATATAAATAAGTTGATTTCCATAAAGGCATTGATTGAATGAATCTTTGATTATTCCACTGGTTTAGGACAAGAAAAGCTATTTAGCAATTCTTCCACTTACAAAGCTAAGTGGCTAAAATGTCCCTACTTTATTTTGTGTGTGTTTAGTCTGAATGCCTATATGGAGGCTGTAGGTTTTAAATCTCAGTTAACAGGGTTTTAAAATTTGACAGGAGGTTGCCAGCTACTTCTAGAAGAAAATGCATTTTGCTGTTTTTGTGCAAAGCTGCCTGTACCTGGTACAAACATAGCCCTGCAGGATGTCTCACTGTCTCTGTCTGGTGGGGCTTGGTGGCTGCAGTCACACAGGATGCCTTGTGCAGGACCCCAGAACAGCTGCCTGGTGTTGGTGTGGGTGCTGCACCTTGGGCTGAGAATCACTTCCTCTGCAGCATCTTGCCCTAAGGAGTTCAAACAACGGGCACCAGGACAGGCAGCTGAGCTGGGCTGCCCCTGCTCTCTAGCCTAGGAATCAGGGAAAGGAGGAGGCAGCCTCTAAAGAGGTGGGACACAGAGGGATTAGGGCAAGTGGGCAGTAAAAGGAAATGGTGAGGCTCTATGGGAGTTATTTGTGTAAGCATGTATATATCCATATATATAAATACATGCATATATTTTGCATATATATGTGAAGAGGCAGGGCACAGGACTGGACAGAAGCAGAGGAGGATGGAGAAGTCCAGAGTCCATCCAAGACTTTTACCCATGCATGCAAAACTAAGGAAGGGTCAGTCTCTCTTCAGGAACATCTGACAAGCACAGCATCTAAGAAGTGCAAAGAGATTTTGCACAAGATTTTGTGACACAACTATTCTTTATTTTCAGGTGCTTGTTAAAAGAGCTGTGAATATTTACTCCAATTAGCAGAGGGACATACCTTTATCTTCCCCCACCTCAGTTCCTGTACAAATCTGCGGCACCCTTTCAGAGCACTAGGTACTACAGCTTGTCCTCAGAATCAACCACTTTTTTCCTCTTGCCTAGATCAGTTTGCTGCCTCTGACACTGATTCCCTACAATAAAACAGAAATCTGCTCCTGAGGAAAGAAATCCCGTCCTTTCCTCTCTCTAATTTGTTCTAGTTACTTGACAGTCTCTCCTGCTTTTCTCCTCTATTTTTTGGTCTTGTTCTTACTGTATATCTCTCCTGTTTGGAATGTTCCATTTTCATACTCCTGTGGACAGTAAAACAACCCATGGCTTTTTTTAATAGCAGTACCCTTTACCAAAAGGTTCAGTGTCTAGTGAATAGATGGATGTCATTCACTGATGCCCAGACAAGCATCTTTCCTTCTGCTATGGCAACTCACTGAAAATTCACAATTGATTTAGTCTTCAAGCACACATATTTTGTAAACTGTGTAAAAATTACTCTCTTTCTCTTGTCCAGCATATTGAATACATTCTGGTAATTTCAATTTTAAAAGTGCTGAACCTGTTTCTCTTTAGAATGAGCATTGCTCAAATAACGGCAATTTCATTCAATTCTAGCACAAAGGAGAATGCTCCACCATCTACTGTATTACATATTCTTGTGGATTTTCTCCAGCAGCTACTTATGACAACTGCAAGCTTGTTTTACCCTGGGGATATATATGTATGTGGCCAATTGCTTCAGGTCATATTCCTTCCAAATGGAAGTCAGGTTGACAGCTGTTAATTTGCACTTGGCCATTCCACATGTTGTTCTGCTCTAATTATTGGTCACTGTATGGAACAGGTGACAAATGCCCACATGAGAACCCTGCAAATTACTAGATGTATGGGCATTAGGAAAACAAACAGGAAAGGTCATTAAATACTGGTTTTCTCTCCAGCCCCAAACAGAAATAGATTTTAGCTGTTTTTGACATCCATTGGAAAGGGATGGAAAGAGGTGAAAATACCTTACTGTTTATGAAACTAACTCCCATTCTGTAAGTGTCCTAGTTTCAGGAAAAGAGGGGAATTTAAGGAAAATACAATTGTTTTAAGACCAGATGCAGAATCTGGTTTACGTAATGATTTTGTCACAAGGCTTCATTAGGTTTCTTCCCCAAGTAAAACTAAATGTGCCTACCAAAATAATTTGTCTGACCTTCAGCCACTACAGCTATATTAAATTAAAGCAGGAAAAGAAATTTCCTTTCTGAACAAGACAGTACTTGCTGAACAAGAATGGCAAGAAACCATTATAGTGAGCTTTCCTTCTATTGAAGTGTGGTATTGCAGAGGATATCTAAATGAAGTCTGTTTTCTCAGGCTTCTAGGGTGTAATTTGGACCAAATTCTGTAAGGACATAAGCAGAGGACTTGTTTTGTTCCTGGAAATAGTAACTCTTGAATTTTTGCAAGACCTATCTGTAAAAAAAAAAAAATAAAATTAATAATTTATTTGTTCTCAGTGGTGCTGCATTAGTGAAAACAAGATTCAGCATCTTGGAATCTTAGTGACATTTCTGCCTTTACACCTGTGTGAGCTGAAGATCTGCAGCTTGCTCTTTGCAGGGATGCTTTGTGATGTCATGCTTTCATGGTAGAACAATAGCAGAGGGACAGCACAGAAATCGAGCTGTTGCCATAGGACATGCTTTTCTAAAACTTGAGCTTAAACTCACCTCACCTCTAAATAATATCCTACTTTGTTTTATTTTTGCCTTTTAAAATTAGGTGTAAGTGCAACCTTCATGCTACTGGCTGTAAAGAAGAAAACAAAAGACTACTTTGTGAATGTGAGCATAACACAACAGGCCCAGACTGTGGAAAATGCAAGAAGAATTATCAGGGCCGACCATGGAGCGCTGGTTCTTATCTGCCTATACCTAAGGGCACTGCTAATATCTGTAAGTAGTTTTGTATAATAAGGATATTTCATTATTACAATTCTGCCTCATATCATGACTGTGAAGGAAGATTAATGTTTGCAGAGGTTTGCCATTTCTTTCTGACTCGGTGTGTATAACTGGACAAGGTGTCAATTTGTAAGTGCTAATTGTAAGTATACATTATCTGTGCTCTCACATGGTTGTAGATAACTTCCAGGAGAACCACGTGTTTATATCCATAGACAGATCCCTGGACACTGCACAGAAAGGGCTAAGGAATGAAAAATTTAGGACTCTTCACATAAAAAATACACACAGATAAGAGAAAACAGTGGGAATAACTGCAGTACTGCTCCAGCCATGGTGCCCTCAGCTCTCTATTCATACATCCTTGTTGTCTTGAGATTAGTGACACTCTCAGCTCAACATGTGAGATCCTTGCTCATTTTTTCTCCATTTAAAAAAGGGGGGGGAAAACACTTCAGGCCAGATTTTTCATATTACTAACTAAAGATCTAAAGGTTGGGAAATGTTTTCCTGATGTTAACCTGCAGTCCAGATTCAGATGCACTCTTGTAGATCAAGTATTGAAGAGAGAAAGCAAGGGCACAACCTGAGGTTTTACGTCTGCTTGTTTCCAGCTAACAGTCACTCCTCAACACACAGCTGTACTGTTCCAGCACACTTCCATATTATCCAAAGCAAGAAGGTACTGACAGCTCTATTTCCTGGTTCTGGACAAGATTGGGCCAAAATAAAACATGGTACTGAAAGAGAGGGCACAAAGACAATTATGACCCTCAGTTCTCCCTTTCACACATATATGAAATACACAGTGATTCAGAATCCCCCTGAACTGAGCAACAGACTTAAATTTCTTTGAAGAAAGGACAGAAAATGAGGATACCTTTTGACAGAAGTTACTAGCTTCCTTTAAAAAAAGTCCACAGTTTTGCCCTGATTAAAAGCAAAACATTCATTTTAAAATATTAGATATAACAATTTATTGAAAAAGTTATTTGAGAGAAACAGAGCTATGTATGCAGCTGAAGGAAAAGTTTAAAACCAGGAGCAATGTGCAATGCTCAGAATGTTATCTAAGACTTCAAAGCAGCAGCTGTGAAGAATCAAAACTCAGAAATGAAGATCATAGGAAGCAGGACCTTATCACGTAAAATGTGAGATTAATAAACCAAGTAACAAACCATGAAGTGTGGGGGCATGAAATTATGATAAAATTCTTACTGAGCAGAAAAAAATGAACTTCCAAAAAGCAGGGAAAAACATTTTGTAAGAGTATTCACTTTTTTTTGCCTGTTATAAAAACTGAGTGTGGCTCACAGAATTAATACTTGCAAGCTATGTTTGGGAAATATGGTGAGATTTACCAGGTTGATTTTAGCTAAATTCAGCTTGCTGTGAGTTTTACCTCATTCCCAGTCAGCTGAGCACGCACCAGACAGAACAGTGGAATTAGCACCTACTGAAAGTGTGTCTGAAGCTTGTTAAATCAACTTTATGTCAAAACAACAACAGTGAATTTCAGCAAATATACAGCTTCATCAAAAATCAAAACATTTTGTAAATAATAGGTAGTCATTCCTGGGGTTGATGATGATGATGATGGTAGCATCATGAAAACATAACCTTGTATGAGCTGAAAAATATTCCACTTACCTCAAATCCTGACTTCAGCAGTCATCGGCAGCAGGAATTTTTGGCAAACAGGAAGAAGCATTTCTTCTTCATCTTCTTAGTTACCATGAAATAAACTGGCTTTCTGAGCTGGACTGCTGGGGTTGCTGGCTGCTGAACAGAGAGAGACACCCAACTCACATACCTCAGTGATACCTTATGGCAATACCTTTCAAATTTTAGTGAGACAATGAGTGAAAGGTATTTTATTTTGCTTGCCTTAAATATTTTTCTATGGTCGAGCGAGTACCTCCTCAGATAAGGAAGGAACAAAGAATAATGCATCTCTGTTTACATCTGGTACACCATTTATCATTACATAGACTTGACCTTATCCACTCCTCCAGTCTTTTTTCAAATGACAAATCCTGATCTCTCTGATCTTATCATAAAACCATGCCACATCTCTGGTCATCTGTGCTTTCTCTTCTGGTTCTGTGATGTCATTTTTTTATTTGGTGAGGCTAAAACTCCACATGATATTCTAGACATGACAACAACATGGCTCTTTACAATAACATAAAAATGTGCCTCTTCTATGTTTTGTTATTCTCTAGATCAATCCTTGAGTCCTTTTTTAAGACTGTACCACAGTTAAAACATTTCTTCTGGCCTCAAGGCTGACTTAAATTACAGGTTATATGTTACAATAGTTAGTTCAGAAACATCATATTTGAGTTCCTGTAAAATACTTCTTGGGGCAACATTTCCTCATAGCAATTCTTGTTCAATACCATTTACCTCAGATGCTAACAGACTTAGAGAAAATTGCTCACCAGGTGAGAATCACTCTTTCTTTGTTGTGAACATCAGTGAAAACAATTAACTTAGTATTCAATATTAAATTAATTATTAATTTGTCATAGTATTAATAATACCTCAATTGCCTATCTTCCCAGTTATCTCTCTGGGCCTCCTGCTTCTAGTGTGATGGTTTTAACAAAAAACAATTTCTAACTTCTGTGTCCATAGGAAGTTGATTCTCAAAATACTTTGGTTTATATTTAAATTGGCAGATTTTATGCTTTTCTTCCCATATCTTTCTCCATTGAGAAGACTTACATGTTTGAAGGGTATCTTTCCAAAATCATCTACATTCTGTTGTTTTCAATTTCACATTGGGGTTTGGATTTTTTTTTTTTTTTTTTTTTGCTTATAAGAGAGCTAATTTTTATAAGTTACAAAAAAAGAAATGAGTTATATATGATTATTCTGAGCCTCTCATACACTTGTCCTCCAGCTGCTTCCATGCTGTTTGCATGCATATCTTTTTAGATGTTCTTTTCACTTTTCTTTTATCTAACTTTTTCATTTTCATTTCCTCGCTCTCTCAAAGTTAAATATTACTGCAGTGGATTTTTTTTTAATCCTTTTCCTTCTCAACAAGCATGTTGAGTTTCAGTCCAGAAGTGGTTCTCTGATAACTACTTCTTGAAATGTGTCCTATGCACTGCTTCAGAACTAAATCAGCTTCTCTTCTTGTGGGTTATCTAATTTTTTGGTACAAGCAGCAGTCATTTATGGTATGTAAATCTTTGTTTCTTTTGCCACTTCCTGATTTAAGGCTGTATGTGTTGGAGCACATGAAGTTTTACATTACTGTGTAAACTCTCTGCACAGCCAGTGCAATTTCACTTCACTTGTTGCCTTTATGTCACCATCTCCACCGTGTGGTCAGCAGTGCAGCCCTGGTGTTGTACTCTCCCTAGTCAGGTGTGGATGCTGAAATAGTTCCTGGAACATGTTGCTAGAAATAACTTCCCTTCATATATTACTTCAGTTCTCTGGGGGCACTTTGTATAATCCAGTAATACAGTGTTCCTTTGATACTTCTCCTTCCTCTAATTTTCAAAGACCATCTTTTTCATCTAAGACCAAATTATTTAAAAATTTAAATATATTTGAAGTTTACATGAATATGCTTAAATAAGATACAGTTAAAAATAGTTGTATAAATGAAACACTCTGAAATTTTTTTTCTTCTTTCCACAAAATAAAAATATACTTTTTCTTGAGATTCTCTGAATTTGTGAAATTTGTTCAGATTCAACAAGAAGCTTAATGACTATTTCTAAATCTTTCCCAGCTGGAACTTCTTTTATTTCCATAGCTCTGTCTCTGCCATTTTTGTGGCCAGTAAGACTTTATCATACCTTTTCAAGCTACAGCTCCTGAAACAGAAGACCATTGCAGATTATTCTGTAGTCATAGCAGAAACCTTGACTCAAAGCTGTTTTCTTTATCCATTTATCTCTTCACCATTTTAAGTCACCCTGAGTTCTTCAGGAGAATGCAAAACATATTTCCATGCTTTACCTGTGAAAGACAGCAAGTACTCTGTTGTTTACTGGCACTAACAATATTTCTCCATTTGTCTCCACACAGCATTTATTTTATATTTCCACTCTATCTTATTGACTATTTTGTGACTACATTCATTCCCTTGTGCTGCCACATTCTATAGATAGTTTTTTCTGCAATATGTTTTGACACACAAAGTGAACTTATTGAATTTCTCTCTACTTGGTATTACAGGATAGCTTTTCTCCTCAGCAGTTGCATGTGTCTGACAGCACTAGCCCTTTTCTTCCTCTCATTGTTTAGATCATCTTTGGCACTTAGGTTCTTTGCTCCATCAGACAGAGCTGTCTCAGACTGCACTGAGCTGCCCTGCATCAAAGCCTGCTCGCTTTGTGTCAGTCCCTTCACCACCAATAACCTGTATCCGAAGTGCCCCACACTCAGCAGAACTCCCTCCCAGCTGTTACATGACTGTCGTAATTCATCGTTCAACATGAAACAAAGGATTGACCTTTGGGAAACATTGGTGGTTCTTTTCACTCAAGAGTCAGGCAGACAATCTCAGTTTACCAAATTTCTCCTGCAGTGGGTCCCCCTGCCATGGTACAGCCTCTGTCTCAGCAGCACAGCCTAAAACCTCCCTGAAAGGCAAAAGACTTACAAGGCATCCGTGCAGCACAGCTGCCACAGAAACAGTTTCTGGCAAAACTTATGGCACCTCCAGAAGTGCACTGGTATTACCCTCACTGATGTTCAGTTTTCCCCATAAATACTTGCTGACACAAAGCCATCCTGAAGGACCAGCATAAATGGAGTTGCCTAAGTTGCACTCTTTAGTCAGGAATCCAGGTAACAAGGATCCCTCTAACTGAAAGGATCACACATCCTGCTTTCCAGTCAAAGCAGACTCATAAACTAGACAGTGTCCCATTTGCTAAGGGCCCATTCTCCCAAGTACCTGGAAGTTTCCCAGTGTCTTCTTTATGACTTGATTTGAAGGAATGGGACACTTATATTGAAGTTATAAAATTTTGCTCCTTGATGTTTTTGACAATGTGTTTCAAAGAGAAAAAGGAAGATATCAATCAATAAGTTACAAAACAGCAAAGCTTCATATTGCTCCTATTTTATATTTATATTACATACTAATATTAGTCCATTAAGCTTACAGAAGGTATAAAGCCACAGGAACATGTCACACAGAAGGCTGGGAAACTTTAATGTGAGGACAAAACTGCAGTGTATCAAGAGCATTCAGGTAAACAGGAGTGTCAGGAAAAACTGCAAAATCTGCAACTGAGAAACTCATTTTCCTTCAACTGGGTATCCAGTGCAATAGCCAGCAAAACATTGCAGGTACATACCTAAAAACAATGCATTATAAATAACATGCTGTATTTTTTTTTAAATAGGGCTTGAAAAATTATCCTTCAGCACTCTACCCTCTTGCATGACCCTGCTGAGCTGGTTGTTTGTGCTGGCTATGGTGACATCTGTTGCTGGGAAATGTTTCTGTACGTCACTGGTTTCAAACAACTCTGGTTTTGCCATATACAGTGAAAAGGTGAAATGAAAGAGACTTCTGGTCCTTAAGCAGCAGCAGCATGGGAAGGCAAAGTGTCTGTTTTAAGATATTCAAAGTGCTAAAAATAGTCTGAGTTTCAGGCTTTTCAAAGTTTCTAATATTCTATCAATAAATTACAATTACTTGAAAAAGAAAATCTTTTGATCTCACTGGGTGTTTCCTAAGCAGAGTTTTCAATACTGTTTAGACTCATTAAAACATAACATGAAGAAGTCCAAATTTTAAAAGATGTTACCCAATAAAACTATAGCTATTTCCTCTGTCCCATTTATTTCTGGTAATATTGCTTGGGAAAGCAGAGGTGAGGGATAACAAACTTCATCAAAGCAGTTCCTTTGCTATGAATTCAATCTATACAGAGGAACAATTGCAAAATTAACAGTAGCAGGAGTTCTGGGGCTCTTGCAATGAAACAGATGAAATTTCCAAAGAATTTTCTTTCACTGTGTGTAATCCTTTGTCTGACTACAGGTTTAACAATCCATGAAAAGTTTACTCCTATGATCATAATGATCACTCCCTTTGAGGGATTACAAGACACCAGTATCATGGAGCTTCTCAGGACTTTAAATTGCTAGAGAATTCAGAAGTTCTGAAATTGATGCTGAGCATCTGATATTGCAATCATTCCTCAATGGAAGAGCTGCAAAGGGAAGAAAGACTCACTGCAGGGAGTGCTGTCATGCTGCAGGGCAGATATTCTAGCAAAAGATTGGATGAGGCATTAACATCCCTGCTCTGACTCTGCTATGAAAAGCTCTGTATTTTGTTCCTGTTTAAGAGTTCTGCCAGAAGCACATGCAGGCACTGACAATGGAGGTGCTAAGAGGGTCTGCAGGGTATGACCTGCCCTGACACTGGAAGCAGCAGTGTGGTCCTTCTCACTGAAAGCTTGATCCATTTCTTTGTGTTAAGGATTTCACACTGACACAAACTAGAGACAGAATCAAAAACTTGCTTTCTTCGCTAGCATCTGATTTGCTTTTTTCTTCACCTCAATAGCCAGCTCCATGGTAGCTAAGAGCTAAAACAACCCATTTCTGGAAGTAGGGGGAATGAGAAAATTACAGGGCAGATGCAGAAGATCATATGAAAGGAAAACACCAGATTTTTTTCCTCTCAAGTAATGCATATATATTTAGATGCACTTACAGTGAACATGTAATATACCAAACTACCGCCCTCAAGTCAAGTCAAAAATAATAAATAGTATTAGTGACTTTTTCCTGCAATATTTGCAATTTCAGGGGCAGTACCAACCTCTGAACTTATTTTGCATGCTTTACTTGATGTGCCTTCACTATAAATCTATTACCATTAGTAACCATCCCAGTGATTTCAACTGGAAGACAATTTAGGCTGAACATTGCTTTGGTTTAACAACTGAATAGATGTAAATTGAATCCCTTTTTGTACCTTGTTCAATAGAATTGTCCATCAAAGGAGGCCTGATCCTTCATCTCTCTAACCTGTCCCCATCACTTCACTGCTGCACAGTACTCACAGATTTCAGTACAAGGCTGACTGGAAACGATCCACACCATGTAACAGACCAGCTTCAAGCCAAGGGCCAGCAGTGGGGGGATCACCCCACAGCCTGTGGGTGTCCCCAGCAGTGCAGGGATGACCCCACAGCCCCCAGCAGTGGTGGGATGATCCCACAGCCTGTGGGTGTCCCCAGCAGTGCAGGGATGACCCCACAGCCTGTGGGTGTCCCCAGCAGTGGGGGGATGACCCCACAGCCCCCAGCAGTGGTGGGATGATCCCACAGCCTGTGGGTGTCCCCAGCAGTGGTGGGATGATCCCACAGCCTGTCGTTGTCCCCAGCAGTGGGGGGATGATCCCACAGCCCCCAGCAGTGGTGGCATGGGCAGAGCCCTGCACTCAGGCCCTTGCCTGCCTCCACACGGACAGAGAGGGAGAGCAGAATCACACCTCCTGTGCCTGATTACCTAAGGACTTGCAGCAAATCCAGCTCAGCTGAATTCAAGAGCTAGCCTCAATATGTAACTCCAGATCTCACACAAACACTCCTTCTAAGAATAATTTCCCCATCATATGTGCGGTTTTCACAGAGTGTTAATAGATCCTGCTTCGTGGCCCTACATAACCAGCTCCTTTTCCAGACAAACTCAGAAGTGTCATTCTCACTCTCTTTAGTAAGAAGGGCATAAAGTAGTGCACTATCAAGGCCAGTCACCTCACACAGGGATACCTGGTAGTACAAAAACCAGTCTGGTTACAGAACACCACACCAGCTAAGAAACTCTGTACAGAAATAGCAAAACAGCTTTTGAAACAGAACCTGAAGATATCTTTGCAAGGTTAATACAGAGCCCTCAGGCTAGCAGGCATCTTGTGTTCATTATTCTCTGCCCAGGAAGCATTTATCACTATGAATTCATTGAAAATTTTGAAGTACAATAATATGAGGCAAGCAGACTTGCAGGAAAACCTCTTCCTTTGCTACAATCTGTTCAGGAGAGAAAGGAATGTATGTGTGTGTAGGAGACAGAGAGGTTTGAGGCGGGGGAGTATACCCAGAGGAAATACAAATACCATTTCACAGCGCAAGTGTGACTGCAAGAACACAGTTTTTGTCTTTTATCTAATATTTGTGTAGGTTCCATGAGTGTATAAAGGAAAGCTAATCCTGCTAATTTAAACCAGCTACAATGACTTGCAAAACTTGAAACAAGCTGCTATTGAAACTTCAAGGAAAAATATTTGAAAATTGATTGTCTTTTTGACACTTAAAATAAGGGGATAGATGTTCTCTTTAATTATCTTAACCAAAAAAAAAACCACTTTTTGTTACTATTGGAACTATGACCACATTGTTTTATTATGAGGATATTTGCATTTAGCTTTCAATACCTCATGGTGCTATACTTTTGGAAAATACACGTTAATCTCAGCAGAAGTAGAAATAATTAAGTTTGCAAACAGCATCTGAGTGTGGGGCTGGGTGAGCAGCAGGTGCTGTCCATGGTGCTCTGCCAGGCCACAGCTTCCATAGGCTATGAAACCCAGGAGCTGCAATTCTGATATGTGTCCCAGGATTGATGTGGGGAAACATAATAAGTCTGGCTTTGGTCCCCATTCTGCAAATTCTCTTACTTCAGCATTGTCTTAGCCATGCCACAAGTGAGGATTTTTCCCAGCTTGACTCTGCAACCTTGCTGACATTGAATATCATTTATTCTCAAGACATTCCTTCACTTAATTGCAGAGTGAGGTCCATGCTGTCTGTGAGTAAGGCAGAACTTTAAGATAGATGTTGAAAGAAGTGTAGCAGATGTTTAATGGAGAAACAGATTTCTGCAAGAAAATGCATGCCACAAAATCAGTAAAACTTTAAAAAGGCAAACTGTATTTAAGGAAGAGGATGCAAATACCCAGGATTTCAATACTGATCTGCAGTAACCCAAGTTATGAGCCACAGTCCATTAACAGTGGCATTTAGTCTTAAGAAAATGGCATTTCAGGAAAGATTTCATATCCATAGTTTTGTGCTACACACAAAGCCTAGCTTTCAGGGCAGACCTGACAAGAAGCCAGTTCTCGAGACTGCATTATGCAGCATGAGATCTCACACTGCTTATCCAGTGAAGGAGTTTTACTCCTAAACAGCCCCGCCTCTTATGGTAAATTTCACCTGTCTCTGGAATGGTTTCCTTGCATTAATTTGGTTTAGGAATTGAAATGAACACAGGAAAAAAAATAAATCAATGAGAGGCTTAATCAATATGGCCAACCTACTGCATTAGATTGTTTCACTCAATTACATTTCTTTTACATAGCTTAATTTAGATAACTGTCAGGTAAAAGAGGAAAAAAATAGTTCTATACAATTAATGCAACAGAAGGTACCAACTGATTTAAGCAGCTGGCCAAAGCAGTTAGCAGTGCATCTATCCCTTGGTTAAATTACTCTCCTGGATCTGCATAATACATGCATGACTGATATTTTTATCTAGAGCATTAAACCTAATGGCTGGTTAGTTGAAATACAAAACTGTTCTGAACAAATTCATGAAGTTCAGAGAGCTGGTATAGATCCCATCTGTCAATGCATTTTAGTGGTCCCTGCAGCCCCATACTGAAAAATCTAAAAGACTGCATTTATAAAGGACTGGGCACATAATGGCAGATGCTTGAGTTTAACTATGTATTGATAAAGAATTCTAAAGATGTTTTCAGAATCTTAGGTGTAATAGCTCATCCAGCTACAGCAAACAGCTAACTACACTTCTTTGTGTTTTCTTTCTCTGCAGGTATACCCAGTATTTCCAGTATTGGTAGTAAGTAATAAAACCAGTATTGTTCTGCATTGTCATTCAGCTTCATGGATCTGATTTCCCAACATCCCTTTCTGGTGTAGATAATGTTTCTCTGACAGCATGCCCTGTGGTGCAGGGGCTGTTTATTGGCCTTCCTCTCTGGCATTAACATGTAACTGTTATTATGTGGTCAGAGACAATGTCACTCCTTACATCTGCATTCAGCCCCAGATTTTCTGATCGATTCTTATCAGCAGATGAGCACCGAGTCATATAAAACTAGTGTGACACAAAGAATTAAGACACTGTTGCCGAGAAAATATTTGTTGAGCATTTTGAAGAAAAGTGTTTGCTAATAACAGAAGTATAGGACCAATAATTTTCCTATATGTATATGTGTGTGTAAATTCAAAGAGCAAATGGAAAAGTTTATAAATGGAATAGCTTTCATTTCTATGAAGTAGATTAGCAAATGCAGCGTATCTGCTGGAATCTGCATTAACTCTAGCAGGCTTTGAACTCGGCTTTACTCCACAAAATAAATAGAATTATGTTCCTTCACAGAAAAATGCTTTCCTGTATGTAATCAAAGTACCAAAATGCAACTCAAACTATAACAAAACCATGACACCGTTACATAAAGAACTACTGTATCAATGAAAGAGATGATTACTTAAACAAAACACGTGGAGAGACCAAGTGCACAGCAGCTGAGCTGTGAGCCTCGGCTGAGCTCCACAGCTGAGGAGTGCACACAGTCATGGCACGTTAGTTAATTGCCAATAAAGCAGGGAGGGAGAAATGGGATCCCGCTGTGGCTCAAGGAAAGAATATTCCCCATAGCCTTAGCTTTGCAGATAGTTTGGGCACAACCTGCATAAAACAGGACAATCACAGTTATAAAATACCACAGTTGTTAAATGCAATTTGCCATACCTGATACCCAAGTGAAAAGTTTTTCACAATTTGGGTAAAACTGTCTCACTTCTTATGATGCAGGGTCAGGACTATAAATTTTTAATCAATTCAGTTTACTTAAGCTGATGAATAGCACTGATTTGTCAAGCTCTAGACAGGCAAGTTAAATGCCATCAAAACTATCTCCCTTGCAAGTGCAAGCAGCATTAGCAGCTGAATGCCACAGCATCTGTTTTCTGCTTTAAATAGAACAACAGCATCAATGACAATAATGTGCAAATGAAAGCCTTCCATCTTAATAATGTCATTTGCCTGCTCTAGTGTCTGCTCTGGTATTTGCATGCCTGCAGATTCATAGTGATGTGCTATTTTCAAAACTTTGTGTTTATCCATATATACATTACAAAAAAAAATTAACTAAATGAAAGAGACTAAGTTTATGTCACCATTCTCAGAAATACTCCTGCCGTTAATAACAGAAATGGGATGAATGGGAAATAGTTCTTTGGAGTTTGATTGTGCTGTAGTTTCTTAGTACTAATGTGTTGCATGGTCTATATGGTTGTGTTTTCACTTCACCCTCCATACAGCCTTCGTCACCACATCTACCATTTCTGAGCATCAGCAGATGTTGGCCTTTGAAAACTTAATAGGGAAACTCAAATACCTTTTGAACTATGGTGAGCTGAAAGGATGCATTGTTGACCTCTTTGTATTTTACACTGGGATGATTGGTACAGTTTATTTATTACAGTCAGAGATAATTCTGTTTAACGTTCTATAGGAAATACAAGAGTTTATGCAAATCTGTGTTTTATCTTTAGTCTGTTGTTAATGTCTTGGGATAATATGTGGTAGAATTCAACATGTTTCTTTGTCTCCCTGAAAAGGGTGAAGTATGAGCATCTCTTCATGAGCACAAGTAAATACTGATACTCTGCTTGCTTTTTCCATGTGATTTTTCCTAAATATCTCAGGGGAGAAATAAGTCTACTTGCTTAGTGTTCTGAACACCTCTCCTATAACATAGGAATAGTAGAATTTTTGTTAAACAAGGATAGAATCCATAAATTTATCCTGTTCTCAAATAGAATTTAACAGAAGTCCAATTAACACACAAAACCAAACAAGATTAATTAGTCGTGGCTGCTTTAATGGATTCTGCATGATTTTTGTTTTGTCTATGCTAACACAGTATTTGTTTTCGTATCAGCAGAGTTTTTCTCTATCTGGGGGCGGGAAGTTACTCTCAGGAGATACAGTTTGGGTTTCATTTTACCTGGCAGCAAACACCTACAGCAGGGTATTGGCTTTTGTGTGCTCCCAGCTTTTTCTAGTTTATAAAGAGGATGGGGTTGGGGCAGGGGAGTTAGAAACACTAAATTTCCAGCATGCAAAGAAGATGCCACCTCAAGCAATGTTCATTTAACACTTTTTTGAGACTGCAATGAAAGCCAGCAAATAATAAAATATATTCACCTGTGTGCACATATATGTATTATTCTCTTTTTTCCTTTTTTTTTTTTTTTACCTCAAAGGATTTTGTATTAAAGCAGCTTAGCACTAAAATTTGAACACAAAAAACCAGTGGTCATTAGTAAACATCCTTTCTGATCATCTAGAAGAAAACAAAGCAAACAAACAAAAAAAAAAAAAAAAAAAAACAACCCAGAGCTTTCCCATTAAGGTCATTTGTACCTGCTGTTGTCTATCAGTTGAATAATAGGTTCTCTGATCATTTCCAGCGTTCTTGATTGCAGTGCTGGCTCTTTCAGCATTTTTCAGCCATGTCTGAAAAAATACTGGTGAAAGTGTTAGCAATTAATGAGTCCCAAAACCATTTCATAATTTTAATCAATGCTTATATACAGTATGTAAATATCCTGAAAACTGCATTATTTTACTTGCTAAAATAATGATTGTACAAATTTTACACAGACCAGTGCATCAAAATGTTCATTATTGTGACGAAATACCAACACTACTAATCTGTACATGTATGCCTTCAAAAAGTTGAATCTTCTAAACTATTGCTTCTTTTTTTTTGCAAAGCATAACTCCACTAATTATGCTAAGCAGTTTGTTACAGAGGGTATAATTAGATAGAGGATAAGATAGACATGATGTGCAAATAGCTCTGTGTGGGCGATTATCACCTTAAAGCCTGCTGCTGGCAGATGAGTCAGAGTTTAGAGACAGACCATGCACCCAAGTGCAAGATGCAATCACAATAACCAAACAATATTTTCTGCTTTGTTCTCTATGCTTTTTTTCTTCCTTATAGTCAATTTTAAATTAAGATAACTTTTTTTTAATGATAATGAATGCAAGATGAAGTAGTAACCAAAAAAAAAAAAAAGACTGAATGGGCACTTTCTTATTTTATTGTTTTCTTAACCATGAAAAATCTCATAGGTATTTTTCTGGAGCTAAAATAGTGTCTGGATGAGTGTAACTTTGTTTGTTTTCCACATTTGTAATGAAATTCTAATGTGGTAATATATATCTTCAAAGGAGGTGAGAGTAAATACTAGTGGATTTTCTATTCTTTTTTAATAACAACACAAAGTATTTTGGACCCGATTTTTGCCCTTTTGCAGTAACCAAGAAGTTCTCTTATTAAATCTTTAGTCATGTGAGCAAAGCCATTACCATGCCAAGCTCTAGACTAGAGTCTATACCCAACACATGTCAGCAGGGCATAAACATGCATAACTAGATTGTACATTACTTTTCTATCATTATTTGAGGTCAAGTTTTACAGAAAGCTGTACTGTTGAGGGAACATTAAGATATTTATCTCCTTAAAACATTCAAATATTGTCTTCAGACTGTATCTATTAGTTTGGACATATAAGCAAAATATTCTCATTTCAATTTAATTTTATCCAAATCTGACCTTCTAATAAATAATATTGTTAATCAGGCTTCCAGTCTAAGGCAATCACCTTATCTAGATAACTGATTATAATATCAAGCCAGTAGTTGTTTTCCCTCCGTTAATGCTTTGAAGCTCTTGGAATCTTTTGCTTTAAAAATTCAATTTTACACTATATTAAAACATTACTGAGCTGAAAGAAAATACAAACAACCTTTGTGGTATGATGTGCTCATTTGAATACTGGATCTGAGAGAAATTTACATTCCAAATAATTCCATTACAGATAATTGTACCTGGTAGGAGTCCCAACAAAGGCAGTTTCCCGCTCTATAGCTAGGGTGTGACCCCCGAAGGTGAGGAAGCAGAACTGAGCCCAGCACAGAGCAGAAACTGCCTCTTTGCTAAAATTGCTGTGACAAATACATAAATAAATCAAGTGATTTCAAGGGCAGAGTCAGAAACCACCAGTGCTGCCCCAGGGAGCACTGCACGGTCCTTGGGTGGGATTTGGGGGAGCCTTTGTTTCAGTTTTGCTTTTGCCAGATCCACCAATTTTAACAGATAAGAAGAGCTGTGCTCAGCAGTGTCAGACACAGCCACTGACAGTTTAGAGTTGTTTCTCATTCCTCTTCCCAGTTTTCCACCATCATCTTGAGTTATTTTAAATCAGTCTATCAATCTGAAAACACAGTGTTTTCAATGCTTTTTAATGTGCTGCAATATATAGAGAACTACTCAGTTCATAGCTATCTTTCTTTTAACCATTAATAAATAATCTAGTGATAGGATACTCTAGAAAATAAGATGGCAACATTTCAATATGTACCATGGTACCCATGCAAAGCACATGGCACTTGCTATATGCAAGTTGAGCTCAGTTACTCAGGGAAGTTTATAGAGAGTAGAGACGACCCAAAAAGATATTTTAAAATCTAATTATCTATAAAACTTGGGGAGAAATTGTCAGAAAAAAAAGGAAAAAAATGTGTTTCTATGTTACCCTCTCATCTTTTTCTTTCTGTTCCTTAAGACATCAGTTTATTTCACTGACTGAAGCAAATAATGAGGTTTCCAAATCAGCATAGTGATTTAAAAAAAAAAATCTTTATTTACTGTTCATCAGTTGTGAATTGTTGCACAGTAATTCCAGGTGATCAGACAATTTTAACATTTTATAGGAAAAAGCAGAACCAGTCCAAATAACAAATAACAACACAACCCCTGCAAACGATCAACAAAGTAATTGATGACAAAGTACCTAAATGTTTAATTCCAAAAATACTAGCATTCATTGTGCACTTCCATAAACATTTTAATGGAAATACTTAAAATCGAAGAATTCCCTCAGCTCTCACTATTTTGAGAATCAGCCAAAAATTTATTCAAATCATTGGTATATTTTTTCTGATATCTGAAGGTTTCCAGAGATGGATCCTTGGATTATTTTAAATCCTCTGAAAAGATCACTTTCTTTTTACTCTGCAAGTGGACACATAAAGGACTAATTACATTTAAATTCTTCCAACAGTTATAAAAGCTGTTATGGCTGAGGAGCTACCATAAAACAACCACATCTTCACATTTATGCAGAATTCTCCTTTCTTCAAAGGAACAGGTATGAAACTTCCTACATTGCTCCAAGAAAGATTGCCTAATATTGGCCTACTATTTAACTTAATAAAGGGTTGATAAAAAAAAATCAGCATTTCTCTCTTTCAGTGATTTAGATTTTGCAGTTTAATGAAAGTGCTAAAAGGCAAATTTTATGTGAGGCAGATTATCATAGCTTCCAAAAGACCAAAGGAGATAGAAATGCTGTAACAATGACATGATGATTGCTAGAAATGGTGGAATATAACCTGACATAAACACACTTGGTTACTCCAGCAGCTACTAAATCTGCCAGTGATTTCAATGAGCATTATTTCTTAAAAATCCTAATTTTTTTGTTCAATATTAGCACCTAAAACAACTGTAATAAGTCCACTGTCCTCAGCAGGCATCTATAATTGAGAACAGATATTTACTGCTGCCTACTCATGGTTTAAAATAGGTAGCAGCAAGGCCAGCTTTCTGTGGCTAGAGACATGAAGTTCTACTGAATCATTAGGTTTATACTGATACATTTTTAATTTTTTTTAAATTGAAAGAAAGTTAGAAAACATCTAAATCAGCATATCTCACTGGGGTTCCTTATTGTTATTAAAAATTAAATTAATAACGATAGTTGCTAACACAAGTGCTCCCTGTCTGCCACTAGTGAGCATTATTTAAGACTTGGAGATTTATGGGTAGTAATTTCCAGCAGCTGCACTGTCTGTGGGCTGGGCCTGCAGGATCACCTGAGGAGGGGATCGGGCACTGTTGGCTGCAGCGGAGAATTCTGTGCTCCATCACCTCTGCCCTCACCCCTGAGCAGGGACAGCCCCTCTCTCTGGGAATACACTTTCCTTTTACTGCCAGCTCAGTACTTGCTTGGAGTGAGAAACCAACAAAATGCCCATTAATTTCTGTCAAGATCGTGACAGGTTGTTTTCATGTGCAGCTGTCAGGTTGGAATTAGGCTGAAACTCCCCATTCATTTCCTTTATTTCCCCCATTTGAAACCATGATAGAGCCCATGGTGCAGACTGTACTTCCAGTGAATATTTCAGGCAGATTTTCTTCATTTAATATTGGAAGTAGTTCTGATACAGTATGTCAGGGAGGAAATAAAAAAAAAAAAAAGATTGGGAGGAGAAAAAGGAAATTATCATACATCTAATAAATATAATGCACTAAGTTTTTTCTTACTTCATGAAAATTAATTTTTTTTCAGTAGTTACTTTCTACATGTAATTGGCTTTGGAACAATAGTAACTAAAGATGCAAAAATATCCAATGTAAAATTTAAAATGTCATCTGATTTTTTTCTCAGTCACACAGCTTGCATACCTCCACTCTTAAAGATGCCTACAGTAGCTTCACTTTTAAATAATAACACTCAAACATACATTTAGAAACTCTTTTCACGTTTCTTAGCCTTGTTTGCCCAGAACAACTGTCATGGAATAGTCTACAGTAGATTAAATAGAATAGAATTATAGAATACCTACCCCAAGATTCATTTATTATACTGGTAAATAATGACTCTAATTACAAAAAGCACTTTCTGGGCATGGAACTTCTGGAAAAGATGGGTTTATCTAGTCAGCTCTTCTATAAATAAAGCCCTTGGTGGTAATCACCAAGGACTAGAAATATTTTCACAGGTTGCTGTGAAAGAATAACTAGCTGCTAAATGAATCTTCCCAGTGTCTGTTCAAGGGATGACTCATCTGCTCCAATGTACATGTGGGAATGACATCCAACATTCTTGGACTTGGACTTCTCACCTACCTTTTCAGATAAAACATTTCAAGTCAGTGCCATTAAAAAAAACATTCAAAGGTAGAAAGATAGACCTTTATCAAGAAAGCTGTAATCTTGATGGAAATACAGGCCATGAATAAAGGATATGAGTAAAAGATACCCTCTTAACCAAAGACTGAAAAAAGCACATGACAGAAGCATAAAGTCTAAGGAGCACTAACCACACTGCAAAGCAGCAGCTGGTTTCAGCTGGATATGACCCTCAACAACCTCATCTAACTTTAAAGTTGACTCTGCCATGAGCAAACTGTGGAAATAAATGACCTCCAGAAGTCCCTTCTAATATGGTTATAATTAGCAGTAATAACCAGTAATAATCACTAGTAATAATACTTAAATGGTAATATCCAGGCACTGTAAACTCCAACTTTATTGGTTTTGGTTGCCCATTAAGAAACTCAGTTCAGTGTTATCTAATTTAAAGGGTCAGGGAATTTTTCATTATTTTGCAGTAGGTCACAACCTACATTTTAAGTAAGTTTGCTAAAACAAGCACAGATCTATAGCATTTATAGAATTTCTAAAAAATATGTAAATATAATTTTTTCTGCATTACAAGGAATGATATTACTTAGAAAAATCATGATCAGGATAAATTATATATTAAATATTACTTATTATATCAGTTTATGTAAAGTATCTGATTTACTATATAGGACCTACAGTTTATGAAATGACAAATTCCAGAGGGTTAGTCCTAAGGCATTAAAAAGTTCTTTGAAACCATTAATTTTACCTCTGGTAATACCTAGGCCTTTTCAGTTGAAGACCACTATACATATGAATTTTTATAGCAGGTGTGCCACACTGTACTCAACAATACAAGTAGGATATTTGAAGCTCCAGTCTGAAACGTGACCAGTGACAACTCTGATGCTGTACAATGGCTAAAAGAAAAAAAAGGCTCAAGAGACAGCAGGACAACATAGTCCATAATGACTGCTTTTCCTTTTTTAACTCCTGATTTTTATGTTATGCCTAAAATGTTTAGGTCAAGTCTCAGTGCTCCTAAATCTATCAAAATTTGACAGAGAATTAACTGTGCAAGTAATTTGTCAGCGAGTGTCTGATGAGGAGGAAGGTGGTCTGTCAGGTGCTTGGTAGCAGTGTGTCAGTGGAAGGGTGAGGGTTACCACAGCACCTCCCTAGGGACAGCTTGGAGATACTTCTTGTCATCCACTCTGACTGGGGCACTTGCACTTCCTATGTGTGGGAATTGGTGGATCTGTCCTGCAGAGGCAGGTTAATGTCAGTCAATATGTAGACTCTTTGAGAATCTACCAAACTGGTTCCATTTTTCTTTCTTCTGTTTTCTGGATTGATAAGGAAAAAGCACAAAAATGCAAGAATCTGATGTAATTATGTGATTAAATTACAACTTGACCCTTTCAAATGCAGAAGACTGCCTAACAGAAAATGGCACAGTGCAGGTCCCCATCCTTTCCTTTCATTGTTCTTTGTGTGGGAGGACTTCAGGGACAAAGGCTGATGTGACCCTTAAGAAGAATTCTGTTTGGTTCAGACAAGACACATCCACTGCAGTACTCAGAAAAGAGTATAAAAACATGGTCCAAGTCTAATATTCAAAGCTAGGCAGATGGCAACAGAGAAACAAGTTTTCTTTCCTTCCCCAGAACCCCATCCCCTTCACTTTCAGCTCCAAGACCCAGCACCAGTCTGCTAAGGGTTGGCATTCCTCACTTCCTCAGCCCCAGAACATATTAATCAAAGGAGATGAAGAGCTAAAGAGACACAGCTAATTCTACTGCTCCCACAAAATGCTTCATGCAAGTAACACATTTTGTAAAACTTATAAGAAACTTAGATATTTAACGTTATGACAAAAAAAAATCAAGCTGTAAAATATATCAGCAGACATATCAGATGATAGGAAATTGATGAAACGCACAAAAGTGTGAGAGCCAAAGAAGAGACCCACTCTACTGGTAAATATATTCCTTCTGATAACAGATATGTAATTCACTCAAAAGGCCCTGAAACAGGATGTTACAGTAAGATATGTGTCTTTGGTAAGAAGTCCATATTTGTCTGATACTGTCGTTTTATCTCTGCAGAGCAGATTTAACACAATATGTTCCTGTTTTGTTCCTGGTGTTAGAACTATATATATTGGCCAAGATATCTTCTCGTCATGAAAAGTTATATTTTAAGCCATAGAAGAGAAATTGTTATGCACAGTATTTTATGTCCATTTGGTGTTTTGGGAATCATCAATTGCTTGTTTTCTTGTTCACTGTGGAGTCATGTTCTGTTCTAGTGCAACTTAGACTAGTCCAGTAATAGCTGTGTGTAATCTCTGTCTTTGTCCATATGCTTGCCTGTTTAGAACAATATCACAGATGTAAATAACAAAACCTGATTTTTCCTGATGCATGCAGATCCTCCAAAGTTTGATAGGATATGGCCGAATATTTCTTCCCTTGAGGTTTCTAAACCAAACCAAGGTAGGATGCTGTAAAATTCCTAGTGGTCTAAAGGTACTGAAATTGCTCTCAACAAGTCCCACAGGGTGGCAAAAGTAATAACAATGATACTCCAACTCATTTTTCTCTGGTGCTGAGTAATGCTATCCTATGAGAAAATAACTATAAAACAAACCTCACCTGAAAAGGGAGTGTTCCAACACTCAGACTGTGAACATTACTGCAAATATGGGAATAATAGACATACAGACTAAAATCTGTGATACACTGAAAGCCCAGGAAAATTTTGGACTTGTTTAGATAGCACAATCTGTATTTTGAGTAAATTTTAGATTTTTCAGTGAACAAAGGTTGTTGCTGTCAACATCAAACGCATTTTTAATGTCTTGTTTCCACTTTGTTTTCCCAAGTGAGCTGAGAAGCATTCTCAGCTTTCATGCCATCCACAATACAAGCAAGTTCTCTGCAGGAATGACCTATGGTTTTCTACAATTTGAGTGCTACACAAAAAATTATTTCATACTGTGATGTGACAATTAGCACTGAAAGAAACAAAATTACTTCTTAAGATGATTAATAAAACTAAGATACTTTGTTAGTTGAAGAAGTATTCAGCTACACTTCACATTTCAAAGTGATTGCTCATTATAAAAATAATTTCCTTCTGTTCTTATTTACCGCCCTTTCCTCCCCCCAAAGTCCCTGCAGAAATCTGGCCTGTGGCTTGCTTTCATGTTCAAAGGATGTCCTTTCTGTGCTATAACACACAGAGGTGGAGGATAAAATTAATGAAAAGGCAATCTAGAAAATGGCCACTACACCAAATGAGATGTATTGGGAATCTGTTGGGAATTACATGGGAAGGGCTGTAATTAAGTCTGTGGATCACAATCACCAAATCAAAAACACCCCATGTGCATGTGAAATCTGCCATGTTATATATGCAAGTTTCTATGTGCCCAACAAAACAGAAAATACTAATTGATCTGTGCTCTATGTAAGGATTAGAAATGTACTCTAGTTTGGATTATTCACTATATATTTAAAACTAAATATCCCTGATAAAGTAATACGTAGCATTCCAATTTCATTTAGCTCTCACTGTATTTCCCGAGTTTTTGCATGTCTTTTTTAAACAAATAAAAAACCCCGCCCAGACTGATCTCTTTTCCTCTGCTCTCTGTAAGGATTAGCCTATGTTATTCAGAAGAATTTTAAATTAAACCATTCTCAGTTAAATTATACTTAGCATTTCTAATGGATTTCATTGCTTAATTATACTGTGTGTGATCTAAGACCCAACTTCATTGCAAAATATGTTTTGAACAACACAGAATTACTCAGTGTTTCTTCCCCAAAAATAAGACTTTAAGTAAATTTAGTTTTGATGTTTTGGTAGGGAGCACAAAACACAAAAACTTCAAAACATTTCTATTCAGCTTTTGTGTGTTTGCAGCATATTGTTACAGTGCTTAACATACAGTTGCAGATTAAATACTTGATTTAAGGATAGTGTATGAAAAGAATTATTATAGAAATCTACCTATATCTAAATATTTTATTGTGGGGTTTAGGTTTATGCTAATTGGCCAGAATAAATATGCATTCAAATTCAATAAAATCCTTTTCAGACCACTCTGGTTATCATATAGTCATTTGTCATGGATTGGGAGAAACCGCCAAATAAACACTAACACAAAACTGCCAAAGTGCATAGATGTGAATTACATTCCCTGTCTTGATCTTGGGTGTTACAGCTCAAATAATGCAATAAGTGATAATGTGTAACTCATTTTCTGAAACTTTACCCTTTCTTTACAAAAAAAATAACCATTTTTAAATTCAAAAGTTAGAAAATAAAGATGTTTATTTTAATATTTTGATTTGTTCCTATATGACACTTTTTCTAATTTGCTGTTCATTTTATTACCTATCCAGTTGCTCCCAAATTAGCTATGTCAACTGTTTCTTCTGTTCAAGTTGCAAACCACAAGAGAGGTAGGAATTCTAGGATTCATACAGTGATCCCATAGTGCTCTGTGTTGTGAAAACATTGCACTGTATGAATCTGGAATATCTGTGGAGTGTACCCATTAGTTTACTGGTGAGGCATCTTCATTGAATACAACAGAAGTCACATAAACATAAGCCATACAAAGAAAAAGAAATATGCTTCTTAGACAGGTGTTGGTGGCAAATAAAGCGACATGGCATTTATTTTTAAAGGAGATAAATGTATGAATATGACTATTCAGATCCTTCCCTAGAAAGCAGATGTTTACTAGAGTCTTGTTTTCCTCAGTGATATGCATAAATTGTAAAAGAGGAAACATAAGCAGATTAGTTGAGGGCAAACAATCCATAAAATATCAATTGTCCATGTCCTCAAGAAGTAACTGTAAATGCCATGGAATGTAATGCATTGTTGTGTCTTTTAATGCATTGTAAGTGTGCCTTATGTCTTCATTTTATTGTAAGTGTGCAAATTCAGAGTGCAGGCATTACATTTGGAACTGATGTTCTAGTGTTCTATAAAAATGATGGAATTTTATGAATATAATAAAGGATGCCAATATTCTTTCTGACTTACAGGCAACCTGTTTCATTTGCATATCTGTCATTCACAGTCTGAACCCTGAGATCTTTTCATTGTTTTTCCTCATCAATTTATCTGTAAAGAGTATGTATGAAGATGTTTTGTCTTTCTGCAGCTATTGTGAATATCTCATTATTCATGAAATACATATGAACTAGGCAAAGGGTTATTAAGAAATGTGTGAACTTAGTTTGACCCATTTGATGAGATCATGGTAATGAGCCATACTATTTGTTATGAAGCAGGTAATTTCTAAGGTTACAATGAAATCTCCTTTGTTTGCCTTAGTGTATGGAGGAGGAGCACGGAGTGAGCGGAAAATGAAAGAGAAAATATAATTTAATGATTTGTGAATGCACTTTTCTTGAAATATGCTTTGTGCTTTTAATTAAAAAGTGACACTAATAGCTGTCTCATGCAACCTTAGTTTAGAAATGATGCTACCCTTCCTTGTGTGTTTATCATTGTTTCATGTGGTGACATTTCATGTTTTAATGGTAATAGCTGAAGCTTCAGCTGAACTTCATCCCTACAATAATAGTATGTTATCTCAAAGATGTAAGTGCATAGCATTAGAATGGGGGGAAATTGTTCAATTTATAGAAACAAAACAATTAGATTATCAAATTCGCGAGCCTGCTTCAGTGGGTAATTTTATCATGCTTTCTGCAACAGAATCAAGATTGTTTCAATAAAATCATTGCACTAGAAAATAGTCAGGGAGGCTCAGAGAGTCAATGCTTCTGTGAGTTTGTAAGGGATTTGACAGTTCCTGAATCAGCCAAAAACAATGATCACATCTAACATGGCAATCCCTTTTTCCTTCACATTAAACCTATCTAGCTGTCATTATCTCTTCTCTGAGATTTTTAGTTTCTGAACCATTCACTCCTTATTGTTATTCAACTTATCTGTGTCTTTTCTGACATGTGGTACTCAGAACTGAAAGCAGCATTTTCTAGCACTGTAAGAAGCTCATGTCATTTCACAATGCTTGGTAAACCATGTGCAGCCTGATTTTGAGACTTTTCCCCATTCCCTTCAGTGTTTGCATGACTTTGCCAGTGCGTGACAGTGCTTTAGGCTGCTGGCCAGAGCTGTGTGCCTAAGGACCCTAAGCTGTGCTTCTGACAGGTCTAACAAGCAGAATACTTTCTGGTTAAGGTGAACCACATGATCTGCTGGAAGGGCCATATAGCACTGACAGCTTCCCAGCTGGCACGGTGCTGAATGCAATTCTGTGTGCTATGTCTGAGTGGCTTAGGATAGCACCTCATGTAGCCAGTACAAAAAGTAATTCCATTTCAATCATAGGAGGACTTTTTACATAGCTTATTTTTGTAAGCACAGAGGGATGTAAAAATGATTCACTGACCAGGCCAACAGCAAAAATTTACTGCACTAACATGGAGGAGAGGCAGGGGAGAAGCAAACACTATCACAAAATTGATTTAATCATTATTTGCCATTTCTTTTTTTTTTTTTTTCTTTGTTAATGTTTGATCAGATGATGGACTGTTTTTGAGTTAACTGTGGCTTTTTCTACACCATGTAGCATTTACTTACCTGACCAAGACTACTAGAGCACTCCTGTATCTTAGTTAACTTTGAGACAAAGACTTGGTTTCGTACAGCATAGTTGTTACAAAAGAGCAATACCCATAGAAATGCAACGAAGTTTAAAAACTGGTCTCTTTGTTTACCTTAAGTATTGATGACCCACCTCTGAACTTGAACAATCCTCCTGCTTATGTTTCACAGTGCATGCATACATGCAAGTGCTTCGGAATTATTAGAGGTTTCTTCACTCCAAATCATAACTTGGAGCAGGCCCTGTGTTGAGAGTGAATTGCTTAATGTGCAGCTTTTGTTTTTGTGCTGTTGCTATGGTTAATTATGTGTAGTAGTAATATAATTGAAAGTTGTATTGCAGTTTCAGAGTGGAAGTAGTGCAGTCATTCATTCATGAACTATTTTCACTTTCTTTCTGCTGCCTTAAATACAAAAAATAATGTAGCTTTTCTTTATAGTATATAAGCAAATTATTTCCTCTAAATTCACCTGGAATATGAAAATGTTTAGCAACAAGTCTGACCAACATACCAATACAGTATTATCTCACCAAAACAAGTTATCTGTTGGTAGCAGAAGACAGGTCCTTTGTCAGACAGAAAGACTGACAGCCTTGCTTCTGAATCTTGGCTTCAGAAAGATCAGATTGCTTATCACTAGTCAGTCTTTCTTACTTTAAAAATCAAACGCAAACAAAATCACACCAATTTTTCATTACTCCTGTTTGCTAGTGCTATTTTCCACTTTTAGATCTCATCTGTTCCACACAGGCAGTTTTCACTTGAGCAAGATGGATATACTTGGGGAGAAATGCTGCAGGGTGGCTGGCTGAGATGCTGAATCAGACTGACCAGCTGCAAAGGACAACAAACTAACATTTTTTCCTCCTTACTTAATTGTGTCAAGTGGTAACATACTGGGACTGATACACTAAATGTTTTCCTGTACTCCAGCAGTTACCAGCATCAAAATTACCAGAATAGCATGAACCACAAAACATTGGTTTAGCAGAATAACATTGAAGAGAACAAGAAATATATGTTAACTAAATGCATATATGTAAAATGGATTAATGTTTTCTGGCAGCAGAAAGGCAGCTCTCAAGATTGAAACATATGTTGTGCTAAGTGTCTAAAAAAATTTAATCCATTTACGGTGCAATGTATTTACGGTCCAGTACATCAGACAAAAGCCAAAGAAATATCCATGTATTGGGAGTGCAGAGCATACTCAGAAACATGTCCTGCAACTTTTGTTTCTTTACAAAAATACAGACAGGCTCAAATACTGTATGTGAAGCCCACTCCACCAGCCAGGGGGATGATCAGGTGCCCCAGCATAACCAGGAGCATACCAGAGGAAAGGCAGCACAGGGGACTTGGCCTCTGTCATATATGGAAACATTTTAAACCCCCTGCTAGAGCTTTGTCTAATTACAAGGTAACTTCAAGACCTCAAAGCCCTTCCGAGTCACTGCATCCAATGCTCCATTATTGCAGGAAACATGCTGTAATTTATTCTACCAGTTAATAAACTACATCTGTAAAGCATCAGTGTGTTTTGTGACAAATGGAAAGCGTCCAACAACCTCACTGCCCTAAAGCCTAGATACCATCTTCTAATTTCCAGCTGAAATTTCCCAGTAGCCTGTTAACACCCATTTGTTCTTGTGCCAGTATTGTCCATTAGGATGGCAGGAGGCTTAGCTCCTTGCTGTATTTATACAAGAAGGTGATACCTTCTATCATCAGTTTGCTAGACTAAACAAGTCAAATTTTCCTAGTCTTCACTTTTTAAATAGATTCAACTTCTTTTATCATCCTAGTAACCTTTTCCTGCATTCATTCTGGGTTCATAATCCCAAGAGTTGAGCAGTCAGGTTTACACAAGTATTCTACACAAAGCAGAGCTCTGTCTTCCATAATGTTATTGGTACATTTCTAATTTTTTCTTTGTTCTGCATAAAGCCAAGTATTGCTCATGATTAAAAACTAAAAGGCACTAGCATTCTATATTTAATGAAGGGGGGTTTTTTTTAAGTGGCTGTCATGCCAACTTCATTTCAGATGGCTGTAAAAAGCATGCTTTCTAGTCAGTACACATTTCAGAATTTTCATAATCGTTTCTAGCCCAACTGGTTTTCATCTCAGAATACAAAAACCGGTTAATGCTTACCTCAAAAGTACAGTTGATGTAGTTCTCCAATAACTGTCTTCCTTCCTTTTCTTCACTGTTAATCGTTTTAGGAGGTGTTGGCCAAAATTGTCAAACTAGAGACTTGTTTGGCCATGAAACACTCTGGTTCTCAAGGTGCTTACCAGTTATAGCACCCCAAGTTCAATAGCATTTTTGAATATTCTCCATTTCTGTCAGAAAAAAAAATTATTTTACTTACAGTTGTAGATTTAATCATAATTAAGTTTGACAATTTTGTCCACCGAATTTAACATTGTTAATACGAGGAGGTTTTTTCCCAAGTCTTGATCTATACTCATCTCAAATGTGCAAAAATATGTGCATTTTTCTCAGCGGAAACTGAACCTCCAGTAACCCTGAAAGGTTTACAACTGCAAATGCTTCAGTTCCATCAGGTCTGCCAACAACAGCCAACCTCCGACATCATGCCATGGTTGTCGGGTCACGCTAACCTGCCTGAAACCAGCTCCACTTCCATTGCAGATAAACATCTGCTGCTGTCCATGTTACATTGATTAACATGTATGTGCCATTCATTCATACTTCTGCTCATGGTTCATTTTTACTAAGCATGTAATGTGCTATTACTCTGCTGCTGTATACACTTTGTATACATTTCTGTTCTTCCTTGAAAGACTGTGAATGCTTCGGGCACTCCAACCGGTGCAGTTACATCGAGCTGCTCAATACGGTCATTTGCGTGAGCTGTAAGCACAACACTAGAGGTCAGCACTGCGAGTTATGCAGGCTGGGCTACTTCAGAAATGCTTCCGCAGAGCTGGACGATGAAAATGTGTGCATAGGTCAGTCCCGGGATAACTGCGCCTTTTCTTCTGTGCCTTTTCAGCTCCTGGCAGCTGCTAGGGACCACTGCTGCTTACTTGCCACTGAAGCCAGAATGAGCTTTTTCAATGGATCAGAGCACCTGTGTAGACTTCTCACCTCATTTCTATTGCCCTGGTAGCCCCAAGGAGGCATTTTGAATCTGTAAATGATGACAAACCTCTCTGGCTTTGGGTCCCGGGTAGACTTTCCCCAGAAGACCCTGAGAAACTGCATGTGCTCTCTTTACATAGGAGGGAGCCACACTGGGGTCACACATGAAAATTAATGAGTCTTAAATACCTGGTCCTAATCTGACTTTTGCAATTTCCTGCACATACTCTTGAATTCTTGCCTGTATACCTACAAAAGCTGCCAGCTGCATCAAGAGGACATGGGGAGGGACCTCTGTTAATCCCTTTTATTCACTGAATTTCACATGTTGCAGCTAATTCTGCTCCCAGACACAAGGCTGTAAATGCAGTGTCACCTCCCCGCTGCTTAGAGGAGGAACTGAAATTATGCCCATGAGGTTAGAAACAGAATTTGTCAAATCAGTGGGACACGATGTCAATTTAGAAAAGGGATTCCTAGGTGAAAAGGGTGCTTTAGAACAAGCATCTGTGATAAATATTCAAACTGCAGAATTAGAGAAAATGTTAGAACATAATAAGAAAAGCGTATTAGGAAAAAATTTAAGATCTTAGCACGCTAGAAGAATATGCATTTGTTCTCATGTCACCACAGTATACAACAAAGTTAGGACACTTTAGGTGAAGCCTGAACATAGTCAATAAAGGAACCTTTGTACAATGGTCAGTAATTAACAGATAGTCACTAAAAACACTGTTCTAATAACACACAGAGGTGGAGAATTTAATAATACCATGTTTCTTATAGACATAAGCACCAGTACGACCTGTTCTGGATTTTCATTGTGATTTTTTTTCTTTTCATCTTCCAGGAAGCAAAGAGTAGTTAGCAGATACTGCAAAATCAAAATAGACTATGGGTGAATAAATTATATTTTAATATATTTATAATCCATTGCTGAGATTCAAGCCAGAAACTATTTAAGTTGCTATTATTTGAGTTTGTAACTTGACAGATTTACATATTTATCTTGTGATAAACACACAGATCCATCCATGCACGGCATCTCATGTGTCCTTTTAACTTGCTTGGCAATGCATTCAGGAAATGCATGATCTCCTTTGCCAGTAATTAGTCAGAGCTAATAAGAACTTTAGTAGGCAAGTCATGATTTTGTATGACTGTGCTGAGGAGATTAACACAATCAAATGTTCTTGGGAAAAAACTACTGTCCCACATATTTGTTTGATGTAGATGACAGACATCATTGGTATGACATCAGGGCCGTATAATTTCAGCTGCCTAAATAGACCTAATGAATACAACTCTAAATTGGTCTGTTTGGAATTTTTCATCAGCTCATTCAGTATGTTGTTTTCCCACATACACTGAAATGCTAAGACAGCAGCTGCAGCTACATAAGACAAGGAAGTTCGTAAACAAAAAGCCAAAAATAAGTAATTTTAAAATTAATTTATAAGTGATATATTTAAAATGTCATGGTAAGACAACTGTGCATTTTAAAATTGCCAAGACACTGAGGAAATAAATTTTTTAAATCTTTTATTTAGCAAAACAAATAGGCAATGTGAAACATTTGCTGACTTTCCATCTTAATGCAAGCAGAATTCTCTTGGACTTTGATGAGAATTGCACTATGTGAAATAACTATAGGATCAAACCTTGGTTTTCTACACGTTAGGTAATTAATTTGAAATAAATAACATTCTTGCTGGACTAAGACAGTTTTCCAGATCACAGTTACCATACAAAATGTATGTTTCTAATGTATGTGTTCTAGCTGATTTGCCAACTTAAGACGTCTTTCCTACTTCTTGTGTAAAGTCAGTGAAATGAACAGACACCTAAGCACTTTTCAGAAAACAGAGAAGTTTGTTCTTAAAGTGCTGTCTTGATCTGGGGCTCCTAAGATTTAATTGGGCAAAACATGGAATATTTTCACCTGTGAGAGAGTTGATGGATTCACCACCCTTCTAAGTCAAGCACAGTCTCGCTCTATTGGAAACGCTCATTTCTCTTTTCTTTGAGTTTAAAAGCAGTGTTCTGTGATTTAACTACAATGAAATGTTGGCATGAACATTTTAATAAGCAGATTTGCAGTGATATGTACAAGTCTTATTCCCGTATGAAAGTCGTTTTTTCAGGCTAATTCTTTCCTCTTCAGCCATGTATGTAGAAAGGTAACAAATGTTTGGATGAGCTAGTTTAATGGCAGCTAATAGGGCTTTGGCTCTGATTTATCAAAACTGCTTCACAGTTTGCTGAAATACATATGGTAAGTACATGGATAACAAATCTGTAAATTTTAGCTGATGCTAAATCAATGGAGAAAATGTAAAATGCTTAATTTTTAAGAATAAAGAATTCAAATCCTGAGAAGTTTTTTTTACCCGTGAGCCAAATGCAATGTATTATACAGTGGGCTTAAATCTAAGTTCTTGATGCCCTTAATTTCTTTAGCAGCAAAATAGATTTTATTTCCTAAAATGAAATATCAAAAATTTGTGGATTTGTACATTAACTGCAAAATTACCTCATATGGGCAACTGCAGTTTCAGAAGAAATCAAGGCATTCTGAAGTTTGAAATTATTCATTCGGTGTAAAAATAATTTAACAGCTTGAAAAGTTTTTTATTTCTTGATAAAGCCCAAGTGACTTTCAGTGAATGCACACACTGACAAGCAAGGATAGCATGGAAACCACCAGGTAGACCCAGAGTAATAAAACATGGCCTCTGCCTCGCCACATAAATACTCAACTGGTGATTGCTGTCACACTTTTAACAGAGCCACCCTTGCAGTCAGTCAGGCTTAGGCTTCAGTTAACACCTAATGACACGTGAAGTTAACCCTGGGGGTTGTCCTGGAGCCACTGTCAGCCCAGACTAATAAGCAGCAAACCTCAGCCCATTTCCCCACCTCCTTTCTTATTTATGCTCATTGTGTTTTGTTTGAAGCATCACATTGATAGAGTGAACCCCAGTGAACACATTACCATTTCTGTTATCTTCCTATCCTTACAAATAGTTCCCAGGTTAGGATGAAAATTCTTTCTCAGTTCAGATCTGCAGGGGCTTTTTCTGTGTGTGGTTTGCTTATTACGATGATCTGGGAATATTAGTTCAGTGTTCCTTAGTGCCCTGTTGTTGTAAGAGCATTGGAGATACTTGCTGCCTCCCTGTGGCACACTGAAATTGTGACCTTTGAGATTTGTAATGTCTTCAGTATTTGGTAGGCCTTGGGAAGTGTTCCACAAAGTCTGATATTGTGTTGGACAATGACCCTGAACGTTCTGTAGGTTATGTTGCTGTGGTATCAATTGGGAAAGATGGAAGCTAGAATTAGTCTGTTGTGTGTTCTGATTGGATCTACTAATTTTGCAAAATGGCCTGGCCTAAAACTTTGTTTCTACTCTTTACTTTCCCTTCAATTGCATGATATGGGCCTGGAACTTCCTACACGTTTATATGATAGAGCTCAGTAGGAAACGTGTCAGTGGTTCAGGATCTCGTTGTCTGGAAAATATAACATCCAGAATCACAGGCTACCTTTTTCACAAATACTTGTTTAAATCACTGTAACTTCATTATATCTAACAAAGCTATTTTTAACAAGAATTGGGCCCTCAGTTTTTAATGTAATTCCAAGCTTTTGTCTTTCAAGGTTTTCTGTAAACACTCTTGAAGCAAAATTCACTTCCTGCATTCAGAACGTATCTCAAGTCTATGCCTGTTTGCATAAACATTTGATACATCTGATTAACATCAGAATTCCTAGCTTTCCAATGGCACTCACTTTGCTGTAATGCTTAGCCTTGCAGAGTATTTTTGGCATGTCAGTTTTCCGCTTCATTAATGAATGCTGCCAGCTAATTGACTCTATTATTATTGTGGAACCCTTTTACCAAAGGTAACTATTCTTCTTCAGCATTCCAAATGTTCAAAGTGCCATCTGTAATTTATAGTTAATAAACAGTGAGACAACAGATGAGAAATGTCTTTCTAGCAATTTTTTTCCTGTTATTTTTTTTTTCATTGGATATATATACATAAGTAACTTCCCAGTTCAAGTCCATTTTTTCATTTATGGTACCACTGAGGTTTAACCTAATGCTAGGGAACAATTTGCAGATGTAGTCATCAAAGCAGCACTGATTCACAAACATATAAATCCAGACTCCCAGCAGGTTACCCCAAATCAGCAAGAAGCAGAGATCAGATGCTTCCAAAAGGAGTCTGTGGTCTCAGTTAATAGTGAAGTTACTCTGGGTCTACATGGGTCTACATAAAAATGAGATAACCCTTCATTTGAAAACAAAATCTAAATAACCAAGGTGAAGAACAGGAATGCCAAAAATGAGCTCTGTGAGCTCCTTGCCTTTGTTCAGCTGGCTGAAAGCTGAACACAGATATTGTAATCGCATTAAAGAAAAGGGCTGTGAATGAACAACACAGTAAGTGTTGTGGGAGGAAATGTGTTACCCTACTTATTCTTTAATTAGCTGAACACATGTGAAAAATATACAGCGGGGAATGAGCCTCACTGCATTTTCCATCTGCACGCTGGGAGGTGAGAGAAATTAAAATGGCTGCATAAAGCCTGTTCTTAAAGGTTTTGCATTACATTAGTGCTCACCTCAAGCTTTTCATTGCAGAATACGAAAAAGGTTTATTAATGTCACTGATCTCATCAATTTAATGGCAGATATTCACTTAAATTATTATACTGCTCAAACTTATAAAGGAAGACTATCTTGGAAATAAGTAAAGTGCATTTATATAGCCCTGTAAAGACATCTAGCACTTTTGAAAAAATTGAGTAATACAGATAAGCTTATTTTAATAAAGCAAAACATTTCACCTTGATGGCACGTGGATATATCCATACTATACAAGGCTTTTCTAATGTTCATTAAATTGTCAAAAATATTCTTGCCAAAGAGAATCTGTTACAATCACTTACCCTCAAGACCCTGGTATCTTCTGCCTTTATAGCTTTTCTGTCTACTTTTTCTCTTTGCATCATAAAACGTCTCTTCCTGAAATGACACATGCAAACAAGTAAATGGACATGTAGTAATTATATTCACTACACTAGATGTTCTTAATAGACAGTCTTCCTTTACCTTTAGCACTGGAAATGCACCCTTTATTGGTATTGAATGAATTATCTCCACATGTAGACCTGAATCCAGTGTGTATGTGTTGTCTTGTTTCTGCAGACTGTTATTGTAACCCTTTTGGTTCAGTCCATGATCGCTGTAATGACAGAGGATTTTGTGAGTGTAAGGAGGGAACATCAGGGCCTAAATGTGATAAATGTCTGCCGGGATATATCTGGCACAGCTTGGGCTGCCAACGTAAGTAACTCTGAGAGTCGCCCCTCTCCTGCAGCTGCGCTGCCTCTCGTCCGTGTGCTGTCATGTGCCAGTTCTTGGGAGGAGAGAAGGAGTGAAAGCTCGGGGCTGTACCAGTGCTATAATGCCTGACCCTTGGGAGACTCCCAGCTGAGGGCACTGACTGTGCCACCCAGTTAATTCAATGCACTTTCAGTGTCCTCCCTCTCTCCCACTAACACCCAGAGGAGCTCCCATTGGCATAGATAAATACACATGTCTTGGCAACTGTGAAGTAAGTTTTGTATACTAAAACATCAGCATATTACTTCCAAATTCAGAAATCCTACTAAAAGAAAGAAGGTGATTTCTCTGCATGTTCACTTTTTTCTGTCCTAAACTTCAGCTTCTTGACTAAGTTAATTATGCTTTCATACCTTTAAACTATCCCTGGACAATAACTGCAAAACATTGGCTTGGTACCTGTAATAATTAGTGAAAACGAGATGAAAGCTAATGGTTGGAAAAAAATGGAAGTATACTTAACACCCTTAAAAATAAGAGCTGAAATTTTCCTTAAATGGTGCTAGAACACATGTTGTTTCAATACTTATTTATATATTTTGCTTCTCTTCTGGTTAACGGGTCTTGTAAACAAGTGAGTAGAAATATCACTTCAGTATGTACAGGATTAGACTTTTACTGCAAATTTTGTTTGTAGTAAATTCTTAAGACTTATTCTTTTAACAGTTTTGATTATCTACTTCCAGAAACTCTGGAGGGTCTTCTGACATTTTTCTTTCACCTTCTCTCACTGCCTTTCTGCCTTCTTAACCACACACACATTAAAGACAGATTTCTACAACAGCTTGCTTTGTATTCTCAACAATGAGAATCCCAAGAAAATGTAATTACTGACACCAATTAGACAAGTACTATAAATTGGTCAACAGTCATACAAGACAATAATGGTAGAGGATTACCACTGCCTCTCCAAGTGATGGGTACCACTGAAACAGAAAAGCTGGACTTGTGACAACTCAACAAATTATATCTGGAAAGAAAACCAATAAATAATTTCAGGTAATATTGTGATAATTAACCAAATAGCATTAAAGATAGTATATGAAAAGAAAAGAAGCTTGCACGGGTAACACTGTTCACTGCAACCTGAGAAAACTGTACTTCCTCAGCTTCTACCAGCAAGCTCCTGTATTTAGCAGGGCATTTAAACCATATTTTTCACACGTGGTTGTTGACTGTGTTCTCATTTTCCAGCTGCTTCTACTTGAGTTATGATTCACAAAATTATTGGGCAATTAGAATTGCAGCAGAAAGCAGGTGAAGTAATGTTTCAAGTTTCTAAGTTCTCTATTACTAATTCTTCACCAAATCAGACCCTAGTTACCTCCCAAACAACACACTCAGAAATAAGAGGTCTCCCTCTGCCTTGTACCCCATATGCAGGGTTGTTACCACCCTGTACCTTATCCTAGACACTGGCAAAATAACCATTGGGATTTATGAAGCATTGGAAATATTGCAGTGACAGGAACTACAAGGGAAAAAAGCAAATCAGAAATCAGTACAGTTCTCTGCATAGAATTTGGATAAAGAAAATTTACCACTGTGTCCACCCAGTGGATTTAAAAAAGATATTAAGTAGCCCAATGGGTTTAAAAAAGATACTAAGTAGCTGAGGTACTGAACAAGTCTGGAGGACTGTTGAGCAAATTTTACAGTAATATATATACACACCAGTTTGTCAAAGCAATTACTTAATCATTTCAGTACTTTCTATCTTTTAGAGTTTGAATATTATAAGACAAATAATGTTCTTTTAATGAGGAACTTTTGAGCCCAGCATATAATTAGCTTGATTTTAGCTGAATCAAGAGTATCTGTAAAAGCTTTGGACAGTTTCTGGAAATGCAAGCTAGTGCCTTTATATTTGCTGACAAAACTAATTGAGTTTCCTTCACTATGTTGTAATTTTCTGAACAAATCTCAGTCTGATTGTGTAACTGTCAGATATTTTCCAAGTTTGCACAAATTATCTGATCAATTTCAGAAGAAAAACAACTAGATGCAGTTGTCAGTTTTATGGAACAGACATCAAATTGCCATGTCTTACCAACCACAAACTGATTTAAATCTCATTTCAAGTCTTATCATGAAGGAACAGAATTCCAATTAATTTAATTTTGTACAGTGTCAGTTTTAGCTTTCTTATTTTCCCATTGAATTCTAAACAAATGACCGGGCAAGCAGGCAGACCCCAATATACGAGAAAAATAAGAACTCATTCTGTTGCCTTGGCAAAGCTCAAAAAGATTATTTGTCTGGACACATAGCATGTGGTTTTGATCTGCTTTTCCCTAAGCCTGTGCTGCACAGGAACATAGATATGCAAAGATGGATACACACACTCACTCGACAGACCAATATGTGCTTGTTTAGTTTTTGTTATACATAGGCTATTGGCATTATTATGAAATTCTATTCTTATGGAGCTTTGTTGCTAAAAACCATTGACCTAGTGCAAACAGAAGCTTGACTATAAATAAACTATTTAAATCTATACCATAGCTAGTTTAACTATATGTATGATTCTATAAGTAAATGGAGTGTCATAATTTTATATATTAGTAAACCTATTAGGGAAAAACCAACACAAAAGCCAAGTTGTGTTTTCTAAGGCCTGCAATATATCATTTGATAAATTACAGTTTGGAGTCTACTTTGTACCACACAAAGTAGAAGTCACAGAAGCTATTATCCTCAGAACTATTTATTTAGGTACCTCACTCTTAGTGATTTAATCTAAACCCTTTGAGGATCCAGGCACAGCGCTCCTCACTTGGTGTCTCTGCGCACACCGAGGTCAGATGCAATTTTAGACTTTGCCTCCCAGATAAAAAGCACTGTGATAGCAGCTGTTATCTTCTTGCATTCAGGGTTTGTGCTGCAGAGACGCAGCGGTCAGCGGGGTCTGGCTGGTACAGGAAGGTCTGCTGCCCTCAGAAGAAGAGGCACAATAGATGTGGCTGTGCCTGGCGCAGCTTCTGAGCCCTCCCCAGATCCCCTGCGGCCGCAGGCGTGGGCGTGCGGGGAACGTGCTGGGCTCAGCGGGGCCTCCCTGCCACATACCCACAATGGATTTTCTCACCAGGATCAAAGCACAGCAATGAATTCAGAACAGAACAGTTTGGTCCTGAAACCCTTTTAGAACTCCTGGAACATGAGAAATTACATACCATAGCATATATTTGATTTTTCTATTTTATAGAAACTGAACGATTTCCTTTAAAAATTAACATTAAAACAGAACTAAAGGCTCCAAGCCTGGCAAGAAATTTAACCTGCAACTACAGTTGATTTGGGCCAGTTTTTAACTGAACATAGTGTTTTTTGAAAAAAGGAACCTGTATCAAAAGCAAAAATATTTAAACACCACGAAAATATTAAGTAGGAGCATTCGCTTGATCTTCTACGTGTATTGCTCACACTCTTGCATCTTGTGTATTTCTTGGTCGTGACATTTCAGCTGACTAAAGTCCACTGCATACATACTGCAGCATTTTAAAGTAGCATCTTTTAATTTCACTCACAGAAGCATTGATTCCAAAACCAGCTGCATATTTATCCAATCAGGCAAAGAAAAGATCTTTTGCCAATATCAGTTTGGCAGCACAGCTCGAATTTTCATTAGGCATGTTCCTCACGGGGGAAAAGGTGAGGGAAGGTTCAATGACTAATAATACTCTCTATCTCCCTTCATACAAAAACCAAGTAAACACATTGAACCCACAGCACTACAAAGGCCTAGAGTGAGTGAGAGTTACCAATGGTGGCTGGCACCCCATAGCAATTCAGTGTTTTAAATTATCTTGGTTCAATGGTGCCAATCTTAAACAATTAGCAAATGAGTTTTCAGTCAGATGCCTTATATCAAGGTCTGAACAATCTATCCCATTTTACCCTTTCTCATTCATTTAAACAGAAGCAAGCAAAGGATTGCACTCTTATCTTCAATGCTCAAATTGGACTCAGTACTTGTATCTGTCTTCCAGACTAAACTTGTATTAATCTGCAGCCTGTCAGATAATTCATATTCTGTCACAGCATGCATTTAACTTATTATATGATTATTTAAATATGAGCTTTTTAGGGGTGGATTTTTTCATGTGTTACAAATGTTAGAAGATGGGGCATTTGATCAAAATCATCATGCAGATTGAGTTGCCAAAGAAAATCAGACTTGAAATTGTAAACTTGGAACTTAATATTAACATTTGCTTTTGGAAGATTTGATTTACCATTCAGCAAGAAAAAAGGAAAAGACATATACCATCTAATTTCTTCTAAAATCTTTTTTCAAAAAAATACACCCTACACTTCTTTCTACACAGATTAAATACATAAAAATTCAATGGTCTCCCCAGTGAAGATTAGTGATCTTTTACACGTTTGTACACAGATGTATACAATACCTACACATTGAACTTCTGCCTAGGGGACAAGACAAAAAAAAAAAAAGAAACAGAAATGCAGAATCAAGGTGCCCTGCTTTCCAGTTCACCGTTGCAACTGCCTGTGTGGGAGCCATAGAAGATCCAGCTATCTATTTTTATATCTTTTTACCAATAGCAGTTTTAATGCTGTGAGCTGGTCAGGATACAGTAGGACTCCCCTCTGCATAGGTGCTGTATATATTTCAGTTCTGCTGTGGTTTGGTGCCAAGGCTGTTGCTAGTAAGCACACTGCTATACTTGGAGCTGAAGGGAAGTAAAATATAAGAAGAATTTATGGAAAAGGATAAAGTTCTGCTGGAGCTGAGCATTGTTGTCCTCAGGGAACAGTCATCTGTCCCTGGTCTTTATACTGCTTTCAAAATACCTATTTTACATGGTTGTTATGCAGAGTAAAGAAATTGTGTGTGTGTACAGGGGTTTGGATGCAAGAGGAACAGACTCTCCTTCAAATGGCTGCAAATTTAAATCCAGAATAATTCTCTTTACATT